CGAAAAAATCGTCCCACTTCCGGGGCCATAGAACCCCAAATTAATACCAAAGTCCCACTTCAAATCATCCCCACTACCCAGATCCAACCAGAGCATCTCTCTGGCTGAGTTAGGGCCGCGCGGGGGCGTTTGCAGTTTACTGATACCCCAAGATGAAGAGCAGCATGTGTAACTACTAGGCGTACATGCCTGTCCCTCAGAGGAGGCGAACACTTACGATACATTTTCATGGCTGTAGCCGATTTTGGCGTTATATGCTCCGTTATCCAGCACTAGGGTCGTCATTTTTTCATGAACAATGCGGTCGTTGCTTTCTCTTCCCGACCCTTCTGCTCACGCTTTTTCCGGCACTCTATGGTTTGCATGGACGGAACGTAAGGGCGCTTCCGGTCTCCCTTAGCAACTGAGGCCGCCGGAAGCCAGAGATTGCGCTGTCGCACCGTTTCCCAGCAAGAGTCGTACTGCGTTTTTAAGCCTAACCTGTTTGCGTCGTGGCGAGAACCAATAAGACGCGAGGTGCTAAGTGCTATTAAGCCCAACGTGTATTTGTTCTTTACTTTGCAGGTTGGGTCGCTCCTGCGAGTTTCTTCTAACCCTTTAACGAATCAGCCCTTTGAGGGGGCGGAGGGTGGGGATGAAGGGGTTGTGGGTGGGTGTGTGTTCGAATAGTATTGTTAAGGCAGTGACATTTTTTTCAAGAATAAATTGCAAAACCATACGCAGTATGGAATTGGATATGAGGTCTCTTCAGCCTTACTCCCCACCATTGCCCACCCTACTGTTGGATCCAACCACTCTCAGGAGTTACAACTACGCTGTTTAGTAAACCGCCTTGCCTTTTTACTCACACTCACACTCACACTCAGCCCTGTCTGTTTGTTCTTCAGGACGGAGCTGTGTCTTTCTTATCTAAAAAAGCTTCTCTACATCTGACATACTCCCTCTCTGTTCCCCTTCCTAAAATTAGGTGCTCCTCCTATGTGTTCCCGCAATGCCTTAGGTTAACTCCTATCATAATGTATAAGAGAATAAATTTATATTGGAAACCGGACTTTGCCACAAAAGATCTGTGTAACTTTGCGCGATGAAGATGATAATGGTTAATACTTACACAGCGCTTAATGCATGCGATTACACTGTTCTAAGAGCTTTATGTATATTAACTAATTTAATCTTTACAATTTATTAAGTGGATACTATAACTGAAATCAAAGATAGTTAAGAGTGCAGTCTCTGCATTCAAATTCCTGGTTCAAATCCTCGCTCTGCCACTATATGTCTTGACATGTTAGTTAACCTCTCTATACCTTAGTTTACTCGTGTGTAAAATGGAATAATATAATCCCCCCCCGGATTATTTTATGAAGAGTAAATGATAAAAAGTACCTAGTAGTAACTAACATCATCATCATCATCATCATCATCATCGTTTTTATCATATGATCTTTCTGTTACCTTTGCCGTAGATGGCAAACTCCTTGATGTCAGGTATGCTATTGTCTATATTTCCTTTCTATCAAAAAGTCATTGAAAATCCAAACCTAGTTATGTCCAGTTTCAGTCATTCTATTTTCTCTAACTTAATATTAAATTGATAGGATCCCTTACTAAAAACAGGTAAAGAGTATTTTATCAATCGTATATCATTGAACAACCATCATTTTCATTCATCTCGTCTTTTAAAATACACTCTTTCAATCCTCTCTCTCTCAGATATAAGGCCTCATTTAAGCTTCCCTTTTTGCTTTCCTAAATATTTATGTGTTCCTGGATCAAGATCATTTTGTTCTTGGCTCCAGCTATCATTAAATACTAATAAATCCTAAAGCAGATTTTCTACCCCCAGCTGTACACTGAATGTTTCTTTCCAGACATCCTGAGATAAACTTAAAGGTAATAAATCCAAAACTGAATCTTATCTCCAAAACTGTTTTTCTTCCTATATTACTTGTCTCAGTTAGTGGTGTACCCAATATGCACCCAGTGCCCTAAACTAGAACACTCAGTTATCTTCAATCCAATCCTTGACTTAATCTCTGGAATTTGTCCTTAACCTTTTATCTCTAATAATATTGCCTTATCTCACCAGAAATAGTAATGCCACTGCCTTCTCAAGACTCCTGTCTCCATTCTCTTCTCATTAGATTTATTTTCTGTAATGCTAGCCCAATTATCAGCAAATATTTTTCTAAATCAGAAATCTGACCATCTTCATTCGCCACAGAAGTCTTCCATGGCTTGACATTGCCTATGAAATAATGTCCTTATGTTTGCAATCTCATCCCCCTTCAACCTGTCCTACAGTGTGCTGGTAAATGTTTAATAACAGGTATCGAGGAAAAAAAGTCCTGATTTGTAGTGTTTACCACTTTCTGTGGTAAAAATACTGTCACATTTTCCTTAAGTCACCAAACAATGGAACACAGAAATGGGAAGATACGGGCACAATTACTTTTCCTGAGCCAATATGAGCCAGCTCCAGCACGGACTGTACAGGAAAAGCTCTAACTCTATTCACCTTCACATCATACACTCTCTCCTCCCCGGTTTTAGCACCAATAATCTCAAATATGTAAGCATTACTTTTTATATACATGAATATTTTGGCAATGTGTAATATTAAAAGAGTTAAAAATATTACTCTAATATATAATGAACTTGTGACAGATTTAAGTCACCTTAATGAGTGAACTAGCTTTATACTCTCTTGTTGGTTCTTGCATTAATAAGTTAACAAATTTTTGATGCACATTCATTATATATTTGTATGACAGTTATGTTTTTAATTTTTTTTAAATTATACTTTGATATTTAAATAGCAATGAACAAAAATGTAAATTAATTTAAAACAGAATTAGCGGTGGTCTTATGACATGTGTTCTCTCAATCAAGGAAGAGTAAAATTGAAATTATTGCCATGTATTTTCCTAATAAAAAGATACTATAACTACAGTTATTAATCTGACCTGTACTTTGATAGTTATTACTTTAAAAAGTAATGGAGGCTATAAAAAGCCACTTGCCTGGGGCAGAGGTTTGGGAAGAAACTACTATCACCACCCACTCAGAGGATGGTGGATCATTTCCTTTAGCCAGAATGCTTGCTGCTGAAATTTCTTTATTGCTTTATTTCCTTAGTACTGTGAGAGAGAACCACTGTCTCATAGCACTTTGCTTCTGTTTTCAATTATGCTAATGATAATAATAGCATTATTATGAGTTTCCCATATGCTAGGCACTTTGTTGAACATTACCTATGCATAATCTCATTTAATCTTCACAAAATTCTGAGTTAGGTACTATTATCCCCAATAGATGAGGTAACTGAGACAGAGAAAGATTAAATAACTAGTCCAAGTTTACACAGCTACAAAGTGGCTGAGCCAGCTCCATGTCTTAGCATTAGGAATTTATCTTCCATGCTAGGTTAACTTTTTGATAGCAGGAATAGTTTTTGTTTGTTTTTTGTTATTTGTTTAGGCTACCCTAGTTACTTCAATAGTGCATCCCTTATAGTACATGATAAATGTTAAGTGAGGAAATCATCACCCCCATGTATATCTCTTTTCCTTTGCTTGAAAACAGCCAGGTTATTGGACTATGTGTAAAATAGCCCCTCTCCACACACCCCCACACTTACACATCTTTTTGATACATTATTAAGAGCTAGTGTAATTTTTTCCCCCTCTTTTAGACATCACTAGGTGATCATTTTTGTTGTGGGACAGCAAGCAGGCCGTTGGAGGCATGGTGATGCTCAGTTTGGTAAAAAGAATTTACCAGAGATAAAGTCTTGGAATAGAAAGGAGTTTATTGGGGTATGCCGTCATAGACAACAATGGGTCACACGGAGGAGAGGTGCCTGTGTGAACACCAAGGCAAAAAAGGGAAAAGTTTAAAAGATACGCTGCTATAGGCAACAGTGGGGCACACAGACAAGGCGTGCCTGCGTGAGCACCAAGAGCTGGTTGTTGGGATCTTTCATATGATAGGGTCATAAGGTGCCTTTCAGCTTGTGCACAAGGCTGATTGGTTGCAGGTGAGGTAAGAAGTTCAGGATCTGTGAAGGACAGTGGGGTTTATGACTGATAAGGTGGACTGAAACAAGCCAGTCTGGGCTATTGTGAGATTAGGCATTACCTGGGGAAACACGCCCAAGGAAACAATGTACTTCATCTTTTGAGGGATCACAGGCAGACATCTGAGAGCCCAGAAATGGGAGTTGTTGGATTTTGAAAGACATCAGTTGGCCCATCTCTGTAAAACGTTGGTTTGGGGCTGGATGCGGTGAATGTGTACAGCTGTAATAGTTCTCCCTGCTATTTCAACAATTTCCTTCCTTTATACAGAAATTTTTAAGTGAAATTTTACATCCTTATTCCTTTAGATACCACAACCTAGTGAGGTGGGTAAGGCTGATATTATTAACCTATTGTATAGATGATTAAACCAAGGCTAAAAGTAAGTAAATTATTTTCTTCAGGTTAACACAAGTAGAAAAATACTAGAGCCAGTACTTGAGGACTTGAATTTAGGCCATCTAGTTTCCAGGTCCTGGACTCTATTGAGACACATTGTCAACTTTTACTTCCCATGGGATCTCCAGGGGAAACATAAAATTACACCATTTAGCCGGGGAGAAAGCAAAATATCTAGGCTAAGAAGAAACAGGCAAGAATATGAGGAAAGCTGAATAGGTAGGGAGAGCAAAGCAAGCAGGGCAGTTTGCAGAGCAAATTCTGAGGAAATGAAAAAGAAGCAGGAAGTGGACGATGCATTCAGTGATGGAGACGGGAACAAGACTGGAGGGTGGGTGTGAGGTCTAAAACCTAGCAAGGTTCTGGGATTGGGAGTCTAAGCACCCGAAAACTTGAGGGCAGTGGACTCTCGAGGCGAATGCACGGGAGGCGGGGCAGCAACCCTCCGCTCCAGCCCCGAGCCTGCGTTGCCCCGCCCCCCCGCACCGCCCCGAGCCCGCACCGCCCCGGCCCGCCCCCAGGTCTCCTAGGTGATGTTGCAGCCAAGATGGCGCCGGCGGAGGCCGCGGCTGCTTGAGCGCGATGCCCCTGGTCCTTGGCAGCAGCGGTGGCCTCGGCCGGGGTCTCGGGTCTGTCCCGAGCGTGAGCGCTCAGGCGCCTCTCCTCCGGCCGGATTAACCCGGACACAGAAGAGACGGCCGCGAAAAGAGGAAGCTGTGAGGAACGGAGAGGGAGCGCGCCGCCTCCCGCCTCGGCACCATGGCTGGGCTCATTAAGAAACAGATTTTGAAGCACCTCTCCAGGTCAGTCAGAGCCTTAGGCGTGGGGACCAGTCCGCCTCCGCCATAGCCGGGACCCGAGGCAGCCTGTGGCTTTGGCGGCGGGGTATACTGGCAGCCCAACGGGAGGCGACCTTTGGGCTCCCCGCTCCAGTCGGGGCAGAGGTCGCTGCCCCGATTCTCCCGACCCTGGACCGGTTCGCCCCTGGACGGGTTCTCCTCTGGCTGGCTCGCGGAGGGGCGTGTTGGGCGCTTGGGGGAGCGGTGGACTGGGATCGTCCCCGACGCGGCGTCTAGGGGCGCGGGAAGGACTCCTTGAGCGGTCCTGCGCGGAGGCTGGAGGTGGTCTGTCGTTACCAGGTGCCTGATGTGTGGCAGGAGGAACCTAAACTCGGTGCTCGCTTCGGTTCGAAGCTGAGTGGTTCCGTTAACCGAGGGCGTCTGGCGCAGTGTGGGCTGTTAGGACTGAGACTTGTCTTAGTGAAATGTTAACCTTGTTATTGTTCTGAATTCACCCTACCTCGCGGTTCCCAGTCTGATTGCATTAAGGGTGTGCCTGTTTGCACTGTTAGGATTTGTTTTAGGTAATCAGAGTTACCAGCTTTGGCAAGTTCTTTCTGGAGTCGTTTTAGCCCCACATCATTCTTACAAAACAGTTTTTTTGCTTTTTAAAAAAATGAGACCCATAAATTCAGGGAGTCAACATCTGTGGTAATAAACCCTAAGATTTGTCATTCTTTCCGTTTCATAACGCAGGCAGTTTTAGTCAGAAACATGACTCAGTAAAGCTGGCAGTTTGTTACTGCCCCTGGCTTCTCCATGTTTGCCTCAAGACAGGCTAAATGTAGGATCTTATTTCTAAGTTGTTAACAGTGCGAAATTCAAAGTGCTTGGTTATAACTCTTTTCTCTGTAATTTTTTTCCCCTTTAATGGAAGTACTGGGAATTGAACCTAGGACCTCGTATGCTAAGCGTGCGCTCTACTACTGAGCTGTACCCTCCCACCCCCTTTTCTGTTATTTTTAAGTTAATGATTACTTTTAACTGATTTTAGGAAAACATTAGGGTGTGACGATATACTTTCGTAGTAAAGACTTCTTGATTCTCCAAGTTGTTATATATCACGGGTTATGTATTAGGGAACAAAATCAATATTTTCTGTGATTCAGCAAATATTTTCCTCACTTATTACATTGAGTACGATATAGGTTTGTTTTTTTAAAAGCAACAAATTTTAGCAGCGTTTATGAATATACATTTCTTAATATTGTCACTAATTGGAAAGTTTAAAATTGTAATTATGGTCCGATAATTATTTTATTTTGGAAGATGTTATCTTTATTGCTGTTTTTTATAATTTAAGTAAGGTCTGACGTATCAGATGTCCTTCAGCCTTTCTCATACTCAGTTCCACAAGAAAATTCAGACCTGTAGAAAATGATTTGGATTTCTATTTTCTCACTCTCCCAAGCATGATAGTACATACCTACTCTAGATACATGGACATAGTACACTCTAGATGCACGGGAGAAAAGTTTATTTAGTCAATGAGTGCCTTAGGGCATTAGTTTAGTTCTCTTGTTGAACTCCCTTAACTTGAGAAAAACTCTTAAAAATTACTAGTAGAGGTAATGGCTCTATGTCACAAAACAGACACATTCAGAATTGAGTCTTTAGGATTACTTTTTAATCTATATGATTGCTAATAGCTGTGTTGTAAATAGTAATGATTTTTTTTTTGAGATGAGTTTTTCAGACACTTGAGTTTTCAGTTATTTCATATTTCAAAATTACCTTAAGTCAGGTGATTGAATAGTATCAAATTCGTATTCTTGGTTAATATATTAATGTTAGTGCTGTTGCTGTCATGTCATCTCCTAAGAAAAATACAGTTATTTATAAATCTAAAGTATGACAATAAATGTAACAATGTTGTGATAAATTATAGTTATTCAAGTGGGAATAAACTTTTGAAATTACCTGAGTCAAGCTTAATTTTACAGATTACCTGGTAATGAAGAGGCCACCACATGGATCTAATCATCTGGGTACAATTTAATACAGTTTAAAAGGAAAGACTTAGAACATACTATCTTCCAATAATAAACATTTCATATGGCCAGTGAATGGAACCCGTGGCACCTTAACAGAGGATTAACCTGACCTTACTTTTCTCTGTGGCATTCATCCTTTTCTGTCATAATACATACTTATCTATTTGCTATTTGTGTGTCTTCTCCATTGAATGCAAACTCCATGAGGACAGGGTTTTTGTTTTTACAAATTTTTATGTTATTTTTCTTTTATTTATTTTGTTTTTTAGCAGGTTTTTTTTTTGAGTCCAGAATAATATGGGCACTCAACAACTATTTTTTTGAATGAATTCATGAATGACAATGAGCTGACTCTCCCTCATATTACTGTTTTTTAAAACTGAGAAGAGACTATAAGCCATCAATATCATCGCAGATATTTAGTCTGACCAGTTTAACTGTGGTTTGGGGAAGTCATGGATAGTTGAATCATTGAATTAATGTGGTGCCTTTGGTGTCCTGGAAAGGAAAATGGACCCTTTATATAAGGGGTCTTCCAGTAAGGAAGACTGTCTAGGAACTAACAGGAGAAAGAGTGCTTACACTGAGCCTTGAGATTGAAGTATAGTGAAAACTGTCAGATTAAAAGCAGTGTTGCTCAGATATAGGGGCTTCAGAAAATGGTATATTTCACTAGTATATTTCAGGGATGTGTCGGGTGGGCGGCTGTTGGTAACTAGAGGGGTAGAGGACAGGAATGGTGCTAAACATCCTACAATGCACAGCACAGTCCCCCATAACAAAATTATTTGGCCCATATATCAATAGTTTTGAGGTTGAAAAACTGGTTTAAAGTATACATATGTCAGATGACTGAACTAGGGCACTGTGCCAGTTAAGATTATATTGTCTGCAAACAACAGAAACCTGGTTTGTTTAACTTAGGTGAAAAAGGAAATGTAACAGAAAGTTATTGGGGTGGGTCACAGAATCTGGAACTAGCCAACTCCTAGAACCTCATTGGAAGAGTTGTTGAACATCAGCACTATTGACATTTGGACAAGATAATTCTTTGTCATGAGGGGCTGCTCTGTGCATGGTAGGATGCTTAGCAGCATCCATCTCTGGTTTCCATTTGCTAGATGCCACTAGCTATTTGTACAGTCTTGACAGTGAAAAAATGTCTCCAGACATTGTCAGATTTCTCCAGGGAGACAAAATCACTTCTGATTGAGAACCACTGCTTTAGGGTGCTCTCCCATCATTCACAACTCCCAATCTGATCTTTTCTATTAAGTTTCAGATTCCTGGGACAGAGAAACTGTTTGACTTAGTTCTGTTTATCTGTGGATCAATTAGCAATGTCAAAGGGTTATGCAGCAAAGATAGGGTCATGGGGAGAACTATTTCAAGTCAGGCTTGCTGCTCCACTTGATGTCTTTAATAAACATTGAACTAAATTAGATTTCACAGGGCCTCATTTGCTGTGTTAAGAAAATTGAAACTGAACTTCATCCCAGGAGGTGACTGCTAATAAAGGATTCCTGACAAAAGAGGGACGTGATCATTAAAGACACATGGTTATCAGTTTGGTTTGGGGTCTAGGGTTCAGGAGCAGTTGTCTGGGGTGGGAGTAGAGCATCTACAGAAGGGCTTTGATTAACTTCAGTGGAAAATTAATGTAGAAGGATATCAGTATCCCACAAAATTAATGGAAAGGTTAGAGAAACAGTCTTGGGAAGGGACTGGATCCAGACCAGCTATAAGGATCTAGGTAGGAGAAACTACTTGACCTTCTACTAGATGCTTTCCCTGAACAGAGGGGAAGGAACAAGTACTAGTGGAGGGTGGTCTGAGAAGAATGCTAAATATTTATAATATTTGTTAAGGAGATTAGGAGGGGTTGAGCACTTGTAGGATCTTGTGACTGAATGACAAAGTGATGGGAGGTTAGAGTGCCTCACAATGTGTTGATGGGATGGCTTAGGCTGTGTAAGGGGGGTGGGGCAGCAGCTGATAGCCTGAGGAGAAAAGGAAAGAACCCTCAGAGGATTGGAAATTTTACCTATGTAGATGAGCAGTTGAGAAAAACAAATGAGAGAACTGGAAAGATTGGTTGTTTCGTCTGAAAGTGTCATATAAAAGTTTAAGATTTTAGATGTGGGGTGGGGGGTGGGAAGGGACAGAACTGGGATTTCAAAATGTAGAATAGATAAACAAGATTATACTGTATAGCACAGGGAAATACATACAAGATCTTATGGTAGCT